CAATTCGTGGGTTGGAAGTGTTAAAAACAGTGAACATAGGGTACAGGAGAGGCAGAGAAAGACAAGCGATGGCGCGTGGCACGTGAGGGGTTCTTGGATCTACGTCGCAATAAACGGACGTCAAGATGCTCTGCTCTTAATCTCCAGACGTATTAGTCCTTTAAACCCGATTTTTCACTGAAGAAGTCACCGGATTTTACAGTGGTTATGGACACTGGTAGTGGCGGACAACTACGGCGCTGCGCGTGACCCGAGTTGGGATACAATAACAGCTTTCGCTGTAAAAAACGCCAGGCCTGCACGGTAGGCGTAGCACAGCCACAGCGAAAGCTAGAAAAGCGGCCTTTCAGAGCCTTTTCAAAACACTCATAGAGTAACTACTGAAATCACACTTGCTTGGTACCCACTAGGGCATTAATAATAAACTGTTAGGTCGTAAGCCGGCATTCTCTATGCTATTTTTTTGTCATTCTTTGAGAAGCGTGGTATCCGCTAAACACTTGCAAGGAGTTTTGTGCCAAATGTCCTTGCAGTGGCTGACGACGATCAGGAATTAAGGCTGTAAGGGGTGTGCACCACAGTTAAAAGGGAAACAAGAACAAGCTTTTGCAATGGGTCGGAGCATTGGATGGCCCACTCGTTATGCTAATCGCATTGTGCTATGACTGGTTGTTCTTTCACTGTTTTAAAACGCTTTATAAGTCGTAATAAAGCGATTGCTTTACCGACATCAAGCCTGCCTAAGGCAAGTTTGACAACAAGTCACAAGCACTCATTCGGTTTGGCATAGTTTGCTATCGTACAGACACTGTGATGTAAGAGTTCTATCCATTAATGAGTGTTTCGTTGAAGCTGTTATAAAAGTGCGAGATGTGTATAAGACTACGGACTGTGTTGAAGATGTAATATCTTTGTTTGATGCGTTATCAAACATAAAACGCGTGTGATGGTGATTGTCAGATTCGCTTGACCTGTAGTCAAAAAGGCAATAAAAAACTGGTATAGCTCAGCGGTAGAATACTGGGCTGGCACCCAGCGGACCTGGGATCGAGCTCCATTGTGCCATTCGTGCTAGGTCATGCCTGCCTAAGGCAAGTTTGACAACAATATTAGGCTGGCACCTAGCGAACCGGGGTTCAAGCTTCATTGTGTCATTGGGCAAGGTCTTTTTTTTTCTAATTTCGCACAATGTGGTTACAGACACCGGTGGCGGTGGCGGTGGCATCAGCGGACAACATGCAACTGTGCGTGACCCGAAAAGCGATCTCATAACAGCTTTCGCTGTGGAAAGACAACTAATACTGTGCGTAATAATAACTAATTTTCTATCACAACCACTACCACATGAGCCACCATAGCCTTTATTAATTTTTGTTACGATATTGTGTGACAAAACTATTTTTTGACTGCTTCAATTGACGTTTGCTCAATTTCACTTCCGAGTTATGCAAGAAGTACATATTCGACAGTGTTGTGAGCTAAATTATGCATCAACACCCTTTATATACAAGCGTCTTGTGATATTTCTTAAATCAGCCTGACAACTGTATTGAGCAGAAACGGGAGTTAACTGCAATATATCCCCTTAACTAACAATTTGCAGATAGCAGAATACTCTTCCGCAATAATCCCGTCAAATTTAATGGATTCAGCGCTTAAACAGGGAAGGTATTATTCCAGGCTAAAATTATATTCTGGAGTCAGAGAATGATGAATATGCTGGCGACTGCAAAATATTTTACAATTGGAAAGGAGCCCCTGAAGCCTAGAAATTCATATGTGCGCGTTATTTATCATCTACCTTGGTTAAGCCACCTACATAAATTGTCATTAGGACAGCCTACCTACGAAAAGTAATTAAACTAATGAATAAGAGTGGGCGAGAGTACATTCGGGATTTGTTTCCGAAGACTGACAATCTGCCACTGTTCTTGAATCGAAATGTATAGAATCACCACAAAATGCCAGTTTTAACATTCGTGCCTGAAACATGACGGAAAAGAAAGAAAACTGAATGAAGCAGAAAACCACACATCTTGCAATTTATTGGGGCATGGTATAAACTTGACATCGAGGGATCGGAAGACGGCAGAATGATTCATAAAACAAACGAGGGCAGCTGTCAAGGACATTTCTTTTAAAATAAAGTGCACCAAGTAGCTCTTTGGACGGCCACGTAATGAGGACATTCAACCAGTAAGCAGTTAAAGCAACAGAATAGTTAGTGTATTTGCTCATTGGTGGCAACTCCAAGGCGACGGCTTTTCTACATAGAAACGCACTCTACTTCATTATCATGACGCCACAACGTGCCATTAGTAATGTCACAGCTTTTCTACTCTTCATGAAAATGATTTGGGCGTGCGAGAAACGCTCCAACACCAATCAATATGAATACTTTAGCCTGACTGACTGGCTGGCATGCTATCCCCGGTGTCAAGTGTATCCGAGGTGCGATGTGCTGTGTATGACACACACAGTGATCGCATGAAGAAAAGACCAAAGCAACTGGAGCTTGAACCAACAGCCAGCACTGTTTTTCTTTTCAGAGAGGCTCAATGGAAGTTAAAAACAGAAAAAAACAGTGACGAAAACCAATCTGATGGGATAAGCGGAGTAACTTTGAACTCAGCACTGTATTAGTTAAAAACAGCAAAATATTACAACATATGATTGTATAAGGGATGTTAATCGTACTGCTTGTGAGTGTATTGAAGTACTTGTCATATACGCGTGAAGAACGAAAACTGAACAAAAGTACAACTTGCTTACTACATGCACCAATTATGCCACCTCTGAATAACGCGGCCAACGCTCAGCCGATTGCGCTGGTAATCCGCATAGTTATTTCATAGAGAATCTATGCGCACGCAAGCCCGGGAGGTGGTTCATGCTGACAGCAAGATGTCTTTTCGTCCACTTTATTTTCTTCACATACCTAAAAGAGTACAATTATTGTTTCTGATACACCTCTTGGCTCCACTTTCTGCCTATTTTCATTAGGGTTGTCTCAAACGAATGAATGAGCCCTCAAAATTGTTTCTTCTTTTCCTCTGTCAAAATTGATAGAAGGTATCGTTTGAATATTAAATAAATATAGGTCAAGTCCGTCCAGATCTTTTAGAGGCCGATGATTGCGATACGGAAGAAGAGCAAATCGAAAGCTTTATAATAGCGTACGCAGAAATTATCGTTCGTTGCGGTGGCCCGCTATTTCCATCAAATAACGAGGGTCCGCTTGAGGTTAGCGTATGCCATGGATGTGAAGAGGTGACAGAATCCAGCGGGATGCTTTGCGTAGGCTATTCGGAAACTCCCTGATGAATGAGGAACTACATCGACATGAATGTCTTATCTTCCAAAACCTCAAGTGAATGTGGACACTGGTTACCTACGTTTTAAGCATGAAACGAGCAGTTGCCAAATAACTGGGCAACGACTTTCATTTCTAACATCGCGGCTCGCCAGTCATACCTTCATCGCCATTAGTGATGAATGGTGGACGCTTTCTTTTTCGTTTGCTTTTGTCTTTTGTTTTGTTTCTGTTTCATTCTCGCGGTCACTTATCTTTCGACTTCATGCGACATTCAAAAAGAAAAAAAAATCCACGTGGCACGTGATAGAACTAAGCGCTGCTGTCCGTGAAAGCTGTATGTGCAGCCGTATTGAGTCCGTACATTTTCAGTGAATCCTGGGTAGCTCCATCGCCCTTCCTTGTGGCTGATATTTAAATATGCGTGAAGTTGTGCCTATGCATTATATATTCTTGCAACAATACTCAGGAACCGTTCTTATGCATTGGGAGACCAATATATAATCCACATTATTCTTAAATTTCAACTACGCAAATTTTTGGTTTGCGAATTATTAGGACAGCGCTTCCACAAAAAGGACAAAGTAGCGTCCTCTCCACTTTTTTTAGGCCACTTCATTCGTAAACCTTGTTCGAATCCCGGCTGTGGCGGCTGCATTTCCGATGGAGGCGGAAATGTTGTAGGCCTGTGTGCTCAGATTTGGGTGCACGTTAAAGAACCCTAGGTGGTCGAAATTTCCGGAGCCCTCCACTACGGCGTATCTCATAATCACATGACATTTTTGGGACGTTAAACCCTACATACAAACTAATCAATCAATCAATCGTAAACCTTGAACTAAACAATTTTCACTGAATGCCACAAACAAGTTCAGAGCGTCATCATGTCATTTGCGCTTTCTTAACAAAAACATTGTCCAAAGAGACAGCTTATCATTATGGCATAACCGTTTTGCATGTGCATGTTACAAATATGTTGAGATCCGTCCCATTGTTAAGTCACAGTAAAATGAAACAACCTCTCTTGACATCGCCTTGCGACGTGTAATACTGAGCGTGTACTTTTAGATAGATTCGCAAGAGGTAAATGAGACATTTATTAAAAAAAATCAAGACTCGGTTCTCCCGACATAGAAGTGCATTTTCTTTACCGCATTCATGAATGGAACTGAAATTCCACCAGCTGTTATAGTGCATGTGATAACTAAGCATAGATGTACGAGTTCAAATAGTACTTCAAGGTCTTGACACTGGCATACCATAAATTTTACAGCACGTACTTATTTGGCTCTCCACTTGCTTTAGCGTGCACTGCGGGAAATAAAACTTGTTCAGCCATGTTGGTCTTTTTGTCGTATTTATTACGGAGTCATGATCTCACAGTTTTCTTTCCTCTTTCGGAGAAAGTGGCTTTTGAAGTTCTGTTTAACTTAATGAAGGTACGCACAGTTACCTAAGCTTTTACCTTTGTAACTGTGGCATTCAAATAACACGGTATTTGAATTTTTTCGACGTCAAGTAGTAAAAAAACTGTATATGAAGACGATGTTACATTCACTGTTGGTGCATTGTACGCAGCCAACGCAAACATCAATTTACACTTGATGCTGCTACCGTAAATAGCAGAGAAACTGGTCTCAGGGAAAGTCTTTTTTGAACTTTACAAATATTGGCATTCCTCACTTACCGTGTGCCAGTAGTAAAAGTAAGGAGCAGATGGCACCGATGTGCTTCATGTCGCTATAGTTGCCGAGAGTGCTGTGTGAGAAGTCTTCGGCAACCGTCTCCTTCTCCAAAACCGGATAGCTGGAATGCAGTTCGGCTTGAGCCGACGCCGCAATGCGATGCGCGCTCAATTGCGCCTACGCCGCTTCGAAAACGACCGTTTTTCATCACAGGCATGTCATGGATGTCCGAAAAGTAAAAAATGAGTCACCAGGCGGCGCGTACATGAGAAAAGAAGGTTTATCAAGTAATATTTGCTTCTAAAAGGGAATCTAAAATCTAGATGGGAGCAGACAGATAAAAACAACGTAGTGGGATAATCAGGGTTTTAACAGTGGAAGTGCCTCAGACTGGCTGGCCGACGTTTCGATAGGAGAACCTATCTTTTTCAAAGGCGCCGTGTCATCCTTGGTGTGTTAGTTTCAAAGGGGTTGGTGGTGGCGTGGGTCCCTTTTGGTAATCGCCGTCTGAAAAGGATAAACACTATAAAGCAGAGGAGTGCAGTTCTCGCTTTATTTCAAGTTAGGTGGTAGTGATTCAAAATGTTCTCTGATGGTGGCAAAAAAAAGAACACGCTAAGTAGGAGCCATGTGCTACAAAGCGGTGGCCACTACAGACACGAAAGAAGGAAAGAGCTTGAAACTTCGAAGTGGGCAGACGGTTGCCGCGCCCGGCCACCGCAAAGGGTTGCCGACGATAGTGGCGTACACCTGTTCCCGGACACCTATGAATGGGACGCATAACAAGAAAGCAGTTACAAAAAGGAAGGAGAAGCAGCTGGCGTACTATGAAATGCCAAGATGTCGAAGGTGGGGGACCCTGTGGTCTAAAGAGCACCTGTTGATTGGGAAAGGTCATTGGTAAAAATATGCTTTCATTATTCCCGTAGGTGGTCCGCTCAGCGCAATTGCCTCAAGAAGTTAGCGGTATGTTGGCTGAGAAAAAAAATGGCAGCATTTGCACGGGGTCAATGATGGAGAGTGGGGCGAAGCATCCGTCCGTCCATTCATTCTTGCTTCCGTCCGTTCATGCGTGCGTCTGTGTGACCGTCCGTGCATCCATCCGCCCGTCCCTGCGTGCGTCTGTTCGTGCGTCCGTCCCTGCGTTCGTTCATGCATCCGCGCCTGCGTCCGTCCATGCGTCCATCCGTCCATCCGTCCACGCAGCCATTCGTGCGTCCGTCCATGCATCTGCCTGTGTGTCCATTCGTCCATCTAGTTGACACTCTAAGTACCACGATCTCGTATCTTTCCATCATATATGCCTCCGTCTGCGTGACCGTCCGTGCGTGTGTCTGTCGTGCGTCCACACGCCCATCCGTGCGTCCGCCCCTGCGTTCGTCCATGCATCCGCCCCTGCGTCCGTCCATGCGTCCATCCGCCCATGCAGCCATCCGTCAGCATCCATGCATCTGCCTGTTCATGTATCCATGCATCTCATCCACCAGCCATCCATGCATCTGTCTGTGTGTCCGTTCATCCATCTATTCAACACTCCCAGTACCACCATCTCGTATTTTTTCATCATATATTCCGCATATAGAAGCACCGCCATCCAGTGGATATTCCAAGGACTAAACGAGAGGTGGCCTACGCACAATTTCTTTCGGCTTGCCCTTCTTGTCTACTTCCCAACTGTAACCACCTCGAGTTCATGGTATATACTACACTGTAAACAGAAATTAGCCGATATGGGAGTTTTACCAGCATAAGACGTATGAAAACTTCCATGCCCCAGTTATTTACTCCGTAGTAGTGGAGTGATGCCGGCACAAGTCGTCATAAAACGCCCCTTGCTTAATGACCAAGTTTACGTACGACATCACCTTGTTAAACTCCCTACGGAGTTTCAGGTCATGAAGCTAGAAACTCCCCATGGGAGTTTTAAAAGTACTTTTGGCCTAAATGGGCTTATCACGTGGTTATAACTCCCTACAAGAGTTTAAAAAAGAACAACATCATGGTCGCGACGTGCGTGCGGGTCTGTACGTCAGTGTGTGCGAGCGTATATGGGCATCTATTTAGCAAGCCGGTGTGAAGCTCCAGAGCCTGGTGTGGGTCACCATGGGAGCGTTTGTCGACAGACAAGAAAATTATCAGTGGAGCGAGTATTTTCAACGGCCGGCTGGTGTTTAGTGTGAACGCATCAAGGTATTTCGCACCGTTGATCCGCGCTGGATATTGGCCCGATTCCTCACCGAAACACCGCGAATACTTCGCTTCAAAGTGTCGAGTTACATTAATGGCGAATAATGATATCAGTGGTAACAAAAGTAAGCTGTTGCGACTGCGAAATCTTGTCTCTGGAATTTTACCGTCTAAAACATTGAAGCGATACGAAGTAGGCTTCGCTAGACCCCGGCATCCATTTGGCTGGTGGCCGGTGTGCGCCGGCGACGCGGGCTTCGGAAGTGTCAACATGGGTTCGCTCACCGGCGGCTATGTGCGAGTGCGGGTGTCCGTTTAATAATGATCGTGTGAAGCTTCAGTGGCTTTCGTGAGGCACCGTATGATAATTTGCCGACAGACAACAAATTATCAATGCACATCAATCAATTGCAACAGCCGATTAGTGGTTAGTGTGAACGTGACAAGATCTTTCACACCGCTCAACCGCACTGGACACCGGCCCCATTCCTCAAGCCAGAAGCCGAATGTCGCACATCGAACATACGAGCATCTCACAGACTAACATCTAGACCATCACGTTGTTGTGGCCATTGCGGTGTTCTGTTCCGTCGTGCGATACGTAATGCAGCGCATTATATGCAGCACACCCACGGCGATTCCAGTAAACGAAAACGAGCCCCTGCATGCAAGATCGGCATACAAGCAGCTTCGGAGGAAATATCCATGTTGATCGCAGCTTCGTTTTAAATGAACGGTGTTACTTGATTGATTGATATGTGGGGTTTAACGTCCCAAAAGCACTATATGATTATGAGAGACGCCGTGGTGGAGGGCTCCGGAAATTTCGACCACCTGGGGTTCTTTAACGTGCACCCAAATCTGAGCACACGGGCCTACAACATTTCTGCCTCCATCAGAAATGCAGCCGCTGCAGCCGGGATTTGAACCCGCGACCTGCGGGTCAGCAGCCGAGTACCTTAGCCACTAGACCACCGCGGCGGGGACGGTGTTACTTGGTATATCAATGCTAGCCGTGAGCTTTCCGCAGTGATGTATTGGTGGGCCGTCCAAATTTTGACTGCCGGTTCTCGCAGCCGCTGATATCGCTGTGAGCCCCTAAGCCTAGAAAGTTGCCAGGAGACCGAAGGCGCATAGCTGTTTTTGTCGGGTCGTGACGAAGCGCCTATATTTATGAACAGAATTAATGTTGCCACAGTTTTTTCCCGTGTGAATGAAAGTGCTATTCGCTTTATTTTTATTGTTAGCGGCGAAGGACAAACAACCGCATGTGTGTAAACCATGGCTTCCAACGTGACACACTTTAGCGCTGTACGTGCCGAATCACGCATTTTTAGTTCTGTCTACGTAAGTTGCCTCAGTGACAGGCAAGCAGTTTAGAAACGTCAGACTCTCGGAACTCACTACATTTCAAGTTCAAGGTGGGCTTTATGTGCAGGACCAATAGAAAAAGAAAAAAAAAAACAGACAGGCGCTGTCTTGTTAGTACAAGCTTATGCATGATATAATTACCAGCACAAAGATACCTAAGCAGTACTTACACCCAGTCATGTAACTACAGAAAGGGCTGAGAAATATTGTAATATATAATTTCAATAAACTAATATTAACATTACTGGCTTAGCATAACACTATAAATGAAGGCTCAGATTTTAGAACATCACCTTCATACATGCGCAGTGTGAGTCAATATGATCCACCATGACTTATGAAATAGACACACTGACGAAAGCTGAAACGCGTTTCAATATATGCTCTTCAGGGAGAATTTATGATGGATTTTTTAATTGTGTGAAATTTATGAATTTTGATTCTAAGGCATTTGACATTCCATTAAAGAAAAGAGAAAGTGGCAGTCTATTGATCTGTGAAATTTCAGCAGCTAAGCTGAGTTGGAGTGCAATTAAATATCTACTCTGAAATTAGTCTTTGTCTGTTTTTGCTCAAAGGTTATCAACTCTCGGGCTCAAAGTATATGGGCGAAGAGCTTCCAAAGCATACGGGCGACTGCGTCGGCTTTGCCCAGTCTAAGTAAACAAATTGTAATTTTGGCATGGCCTCTTAAATGGTGCACATCCAACAGCTCGTCAAGTATAGTGGGTGTTCAGCAATGTGCTTGTTTGCAGCAATGCGCAGCACACTGCAGTTAAATAAGCACTAGATGTCTCCTAGGAAGTCGTGTACGCGTCTGCATATCACATTTCAAGTGAGTTGAAGTAAAAGCAGTTTGTGTCTGCAATAGCACACAACACTGCCAAAGAGAATATCAGCTGCTTTGCAATATCTAACTCAAGGATGTTTGAGATTTTGCAAATCTATCATTATTTATTCATCCCTATATGCTTCCACCACTAGGACATGGCATATTAAAATGGCCTCAATATATGTATTGGTTCTACCACCAACAAAAGCTTTTGCAGGACCTTTTTCGAGTAATTGAAGAATTTAGAAATCTGTTCAAAATAACATACCTGCAAGATCAGTGGCATAGCCAGAAATTCTATCTTGGAGAAGGGTGTTGGTCAGTCACACTTTATGTATGTTCATGGGTGTATATATACATATACTAAAATGAGAAATTTGTTGAGGTCAGAATGCCTCCCCCCACCTACTCCTTAGGATTTAAGACTTACTCACAGTGAGTCTTGTTTTTCATCTTATTAATTTAGTAAAAACACTTAACTTTCTTTCAAATTTTTAATACTTTTATATATACAGCAAATTTCTAGAGAAATTAGGGGCACATACACGTGTTGTACATACGATGTGTTGTAGTGAACATATAATAACTCTCATTCCCATGGCAGACGTGGCATGGATGTACAAAAGAAAAGGACTATACCTGTACAAATTATGACAGATGTGACAGCACCCACGAGTTCAGTATTACACATTTTATTTTTCTCCTTAAAATTCATACAAAGAGATTGAAACTAAAGTTATAGCAAGGAAAAGTTCTTAGACATGATGGTATGGG